GCTCGCCTTCCGGCCTCCGAGCGAGCCGCCTGCCTTTTCGTGCTTTGTCATCCCCGACTCCAAAGGATCCAAAAATACAGAAACTGGGATTCTCACGTATCATCATCTGCAGCCAGGAGTTGGGGATTTTGAGAAATAAAATGCCATGGGTCTGAGAAGCACCTGCATCACAGCTATGAAGTTTGGGCCAAATAATTTGAGAGAATAATCCAGATTTTTTTCTTTTCTAATGAGAACACCAGCATGTTTCCTCCATTCAGCCTTACTCACTGCCCACACCTGAAGTTGCGTGATAGCTGGCTCAACCAGCTACATTTGTTGAAACTGCTGTATAGCTGGAGTCTGGGCTCCATTTCTTAATCAATTTCTATACCACGCTGCTACCAACGAGGGATTTAACTTGCTCAAGCAGTGTTAGGTGTAATTTGAAAGAATGTAAGAAGAGGTCACAGTCCAGCTCTGGCTCATTCTATTATTGGCGTGCAAATGCCAAGGAGAAGACCGGTTACTCGCAGGCCGCCCTGTGGGAACTCCCAGGAGGTAGGTGAGGGGCTCCTGCGCGCAGGAAACACGCTGAAGTGGGGAATTGGTGAGACGCACACAGACACGCTTGTCTGGATGCCTCCAGCCAACTGTGCATGATCTGCAGGGGACCGCTGCCAACTACCAGTTGAGTCAGTCCCAACACCACTCTAGTGTAAGAATGTTAATTGGCCTGTTGCAGTTCCCCGGTGCTGGAAGCTGCCAGCTCAAGTCCTCAGTATGATCTCAATTTGGATGGAGAAGCCAGGAGATGCAGCTTGAATTTTTCATTTTTCTTTCCACCTGTCAGTGGTGAAATCCAATTTTTAGCTGTGTGACAGGATTGATCCAAGCGCTTCCGTTTCAAAAAATCAGACCGAACTTAGAGGAGAGCTTATTTTCAATGCCTAGTCAAACATGCAAGTTTAAAGCCATCCTCTCATAAAAATATTAAACATACTTGGCTCGAACAGGCTAGAAAGCAAGTAGACACTGTCACTAGCACCCTTCAATTTGAATACAGAGTTTGATGGGGTTAAGAAGCACAAACCATTGTAGTTTATTTGTAGCTGTCGACAATTTTAATCATCATCAACCAAAATACAACCTTTTAAAAACAGCAGGCTTGGACAACTCCTCACCAAGGATCCTGGAAGAACGGTGTTTATTACTGATGTCCACTTAGCATCAGTAAATCGAGTCCGCACTAGAACTCAACAGACCAGAACTTATGTTGCACCAGCGTTGAAGAAGAAATCAGAGAACAACCGGGTTACTTACAGGCAGAGCAGTCCGAGTCACCCAGGGCAAAAACAAAAGATAAAAGCTGACAGGGTAAGCACAGATAGGGTAGGCAGGTTTTTCACTCATCTCATTTTTTGTTAAGATTATAGATTCGTTTGATTAAGAAAACCTAAGTAACAAACTTCAAAAACTAATTGTCAGAGGGGAGTTGTATTTGAGCAGAGGTACTTGGAAAGCTGCCCTGGGACCATTACCAGGTTTAAGACAATTCACCATTTTCCTCCAAGATGTGGAAGCATGTATAAACTCGCTGCTGATTGTGTTTGTGGACAACGCAAAAGCTGGCACTACGGTGAACTGGGCCATCACGTAAGAGTTCTGGGACAGCTGATAAAGCATACTGTTCAAAAAAATTTTTTTTTAATAGCCAAATCTCAGGTTATACATCCAGGAAAAGAATACAAAACTGAACCTTGAACACTGGGAAAACAGCACACTGAAAACCTGTTGACTCTGAAAAAGGCATTAGGGTCATAACGAACAAGGAATTGAACGTGAGATTCCAACTTAACACTGTGACAGAATGTGACATGCATCTTGGAAACACCATCAATAGCGTACAAAGAAAGAAGAGGGGATTTTACCCATATATAGATCACTGAAGAAACCCGTAACAGGGGTTTATCTCCTTAAAAAAAGATTGCAAATCTGTGAGGGGACTAAGGAAGATGGGCATAACACAAGATTTCAGGACATCAATCCATGCATTTCATCAAAAAAATACTGAGTGGTTTTTTAGTTTTAAATGCATTCCCAGCAAGAAAATACAAGATACTGCTGACCGCTTTTGCAGAGCCATCCCCTCCCCTCTTCCTGTAAGTGGAAGCTGAAGTCACATTCTAATCATAAGACAGACATGCACTTTAAACAGAGGGATTACTAGCTATTGAAATACACTATCAAGTGAAGACATAGATTACATTTTATGCTTTTTTCAAGAGTCAATGCCTTTCTCTAGCATAAAAACTTAACCTTCGCAGGAGGTCAGACTAGATGAAGGGTGTTAAACACTCTCACCTTAACAAAAAGCAGGAAGAAAGGGACACTTCACTAGATGTCCAGTCTCAGCTGATAAGTGGCTTTATATAGTCTCTGTCTTTATATTGAGCAATGCAAAATTTTAGACAGAACACTCTCACCTTAACTGCTAATAAAAAGCAGGAAGAAAGGGACACTTCACTAGATGTCCAATCTCAGCTGATAAGTGGCTTTATATAGTCTCTGTCTTTATATTGAGCAATGCAAAATTTTAGACAACTGATAATCAGTTTCTATTTACCCTCATCTTTCTCAGTATGCTAACGATCCGATGACCTGTAACAGATTTCTTCTCACCCAGATTTCTAGAAACCATCCTGCTATAACCATTAGAGAGGTATGGCTGATACAGAATCAAAAGCCTGAGAACAAGCACTATCTAACAAATATTAGAGCTCTGTGACCTACGTACCAGAAAGATTTCAAAACTTCCCCCACCAAAAAAGCCTTAAAAATTCCTGCCATAAGTTGACAGAAAAATTCTATATTCCTCATCCTTCATGATAATGAGGGACAACACAATTTTACAGTAGCACAGTTTATCATTGGAACTTAGGACTTACAAACTGATTTCTATAGTTACTATTTTTTCCTTAGCTCCTTTTAAAGTAATAGTAGCAATATTGCAAAAATAGTTTTGGATATCTTGTTCTAAGTCACAGAGATTCACTTGTACCATTTCCTCTGCTACTAAAAATCTTTAAGAAATTAGCCCCTTCCATTTCACTGCAACCCATTTGTACCTACATGCAAAGAAAGAATATGGCACATGAAAGCTTTCATCAGGACAAACCTCAGCTTGATATAAAAAAAATTTCAATGTTTATCTAATAAAATACATTATTATTTGAAATGTATCACCTACTACTGACATCATTAAGCAGCTATTAAAATGCTAATCTTGTTGCTTCTTCTCCTTTCAACGTTTAAGGACATTATTAATCAACCTACTGTAAATCCTGAAAACAAAGCATAGTCCACTTCAAGAAGCTGCTCTCTATGTTTACAGAATTTTCGTGCTACGGAGAGTCAATCAAGTCATCACAGAGTGCACCACTTACAGAAATAACTAGTTAATTATTTTCTGAAGAAATCTGCAGCAAAACCATGCCAGAGACAAAAAATTCAGCACGCACATTTGGAAAAAGAAAAAGGAGAAAGGATCTTAAGGTTTCTGGTTACTATTCTGTCAACTACAGTTTATGATGGAAATTAAACTCTGTCATGCTCTTCAGCTTTAGACAATGAGATACGTATTTAGAATAAATACACATATTCTAAATGACCACATATCAAGTGCTAAGGCAGCATGACTACTTGTGAAATTCATCATGTCAACAAAGCTGCCACTGTTTTGTATTTCTAAGTTTTCCAGCCAAAGGCTGAAACGACAGATACTGCTTACCACCTACATTCTGTGGCTGCATTTTTAGAAGATGATTTCACTTAGTGCTCTTCTTATGAGCAGAAGGTGTCAGTCTAGTTTGTTCCTGGCTTCCACTGAAATAATAATAATATTATTTAAAAAGTTTGCTTTGAAAAAAAAGCATATCATCCAACCTGCTACTCCCCAGAAACTTAAAAGTGAAGAGAGAACACACAACCAATTTCTTATGCCAACCAGTGAATAATGAAGTTCTTTGCAATACAAATGCACACATTCTGGAAGCAGAAAAGCTTTCAAAAGTGTTTTTTTTAAAAGATGCTTCGTCTTTCCTTTTAAGAGGCATAACAAATGATAAATGCATGCATACTGTTAAACGCCAACCCCTTTATCTCACTTTTCAATGTATGTACACATGGGCCTTCATTACACAGATTCTGCTTAAACAATACGCTTATCACTTCATACTAACTTGAAAGAACAGAGTTAATGACCTAAAGAATTTTCAAACCAGAGCAAATGACTGTGGCCTATTTTTCAGGCCTACTCATAAACATGTGAGTAGTTCTGCAATATGTATTTACAGCTATGTAAATACAAACATGTTTGCAGGATTGGACCACGGAGAGAACGTGTTAATTGATGAAACTAGATGTAGTAGCACAGGCAGGTCCTAACGCTGACGGAGCCACAGTCTGCGACATGAATCTCGACAGCATTCAGCACCCTTTGACTCTGCCACAATGTAAAACAAATGGGAGAAATTAGAGCAGCAGTGAAAGGTTTTTGCAAACCGCGTCCTGTACTTATTCAATACAAGTTATTAGCACTGCATACATTTGTGATTCTAAAACCAGTAAGAGCCTTTTGGCGCCATTTCAACCTTTTGTCCCTGGCAGTCCAATTTCACAGATTCAAACACATTACATGTTCAATCCTGCAAAATCCACCGTAGATTAGAAATGTGTATTTTTTAATAAAAGCCAGTGGTGTAGCACAAGGTGTGAGACTTAAAAATATCAATATATTCACATAAAAACATTTTGTGTATTAGGAAAAAAGCTGGAATTGTATACACAAATTTATAGTACTTAGGGCTTTCCATTAAGGAAACAAATTATTTTTCACACAAGAAACATTAATAGCTCTCAGGTAGGACAGTGCTCAAAGTCCCAAGGCAATTATATAATCAGTCATTTTTAGACAGAATATTATGTTACACAATATTGGAATTGAACAATGATAGTCTCTTGAGTAAGTCAGTATTTAGATACATATTATATGTATTTTTATACTGTCCTAGATTGCCTAGTGAACCATTAGGAAGTTTTGACACTAAGAGATTCTATTGGATCAAATAATACAAGTATTCTGTTAAATTCATTATTAAATCCTTACATGTCCAACAGCAAACACTGCATTTAATTTTAACATTTGATCTCCACTGGATGAAGCCAATTACTAAAGCCAACTTTAACTAGCTATCTGTCTATGATCTGTTATCTGTCTGCTCCTTTCCAAAAGGAGTTTCTGCAGCACCATTAGGTGAGGCTCAGTGGTTATGGCTAAGAAAGGGACAGCTCACCTGAAGCATCAAGCCTGCAGTCCCCTGTGGCAGGACTGACCACAGAAGAGTCCCTGACTACCAAAACCACATACCATTCCCACTCTCCTCTCTGACATTTAATTAGCTGCCAAGTAGCTTTAAATTTATTTTTACTCCCTTTTTTTTTTTAATTTTCTTCTTCCCTATGAAGAAGGCTTGTGAGTAATACTTTGAAATTAGAGTGCTAAGTTAAGAATACTCTTACAGACATCACATCAATTTATCATTTTAGTATACATAAAGAGACAATATGGTAACTAGGTTGCGGAAAACAGGATGTTTACAGCACTTCAACAAACGAACTAGCTTTCACGTGATCAACAGAACAAGAAAATGTAAAATCGGTGTCGATTTATGATTGCAAAAATAAAATCCTACACATACAAGGAATATAAGCATACTTTGACCGATCACAGAGCAGTTGCGTAAGACAGAATTAAATAATCAAGATGCACTCATTCACTGAAGTCATCAATTTTACAAATAAGTGTTGCATGCATCTGTCCAGACTAAATGTCAATCAGCCACATGGCTATAAGCTTTAGCCAAGAAAAGAAGTTACTATGACTCTCTCCCCTCTCACTATTTCCTAATCTTGTTTCTAATCAGCTTGTATGAAGTTATTTCACTTTCCATATGTAAGAGTTACACTACCATTTATTTCTTAAAGGCTTCAAAAGGCAGGGAAGGAGGTAGAGACACTGAAGGAAGGAAAAAGAAATATTCTTCAGAAACAAGTTCTTAAACAGGACGAGTAAGTATTGACCACAGTCATGGTTTAAGCACTATTTAATGCTTGTTACCCCCATAAATCCCGCTTCCTTACCAGGGTGGGGCAAGAGAGACTAATGGATAGATGTCATCTATGTCTCGAAGAACACTGTCATACTGCAGACAGATCTGCCACAGTCATCCTTGATCAACGGAAAGCAAAACAATATTTTCCTCTATTAATTTGCTTTTTCACTGCAGCTGTTTTACAACTTATGAAACTATATAAAATTTGACTAAGCCCAAAAAAATTCTAAAGGAAGATCAAGTTTTAAGAAGTACATAGCAGAAACTAGTTACAATCTAAATGAATATGAATGGCAATTTGAACATTTTACACCCATAAATGTGAACCAAAGAATTCAGAGAGAAGTGACAAAGTAAAAAGAAGAAAAATGCTCACAAAGTAAATCTGTGAAACACAACTTCCTATAAACACAATAAAGTCCAGATCATCATCCCTAGTTTGTACGTGTTTGGATTAGTATACACTTGCTTGTAAAATAATGCAGAAAGATCATTCAGAGCCATCTCAGAGGAACTTTTGAACAGTATTTCTGTAAATACTTCTAGAACACAGTAATAGCAGCCATAGTCTCCTTAACTGTTGGCCTGAGGAACACCTTCCTCACTCATCCAAAGATATATAATTAGCTACATCCTGGCATACAGCTTTCAAGTCATTGACCTGAATGCTATAGTTCTCTTGTACTTGTGTCAATACAAGGAGAAGACAGATTACTGAAAGATAGATCAGACATCCTTTAATTTAATCTAGTTATCCAACGAGACTAGACTGTGCTAATAAACATGTACATCAATCATCACATTAAAAGGAATTTGTAGCAAGAGGAAAGAGATGCCATCCTTGTCTATGTGGGACTGCAAAAACATTGCCACTCATACCTATTAGTGCAGGTTTATTGGGTAACAAACCTATTGGGGAGGAAGCAGCTTGCACATACGCTTCACAACCTCAGTCAAATCGTCATCTCTGGAAACAGCTCTATCCTGAGGTATCCTCTGGGATACCAGTCGAGTGAACTCCCAGTTCCGTATCTTGTATTATTTGTAATAATAAAACATGATCAGAATTAATAAAACCACAAAAGACAACTTCACTTCAAAACACAGTGATAACTTCTGCAGCTTATTCTGGATTTTACATATTTTATTGCAAGTGCGTGAAAAGTACCCATTTTGTCCAGAATTTGCAGTTTTATGCTTGCCTTCTTTTTAACATTTAAATGCACATCCAGGTCAATCTATCGGAATACTCAGAAGCAGATACCTTCCATGAAAATACTGCATGAAAGGATGCAGCAGATACAATCTTCTTACTTTAGTCTCTGTTTTGCTTAAAGTGCTGATGAACCCCGATTTCCCATGGCTGGGTCTTCACGAGGACTTCAGTATCCCTTCCTTCCTCTGAATCTTGCCCTGGTATCCAACTGAAAATTGAAGTCGATGTATTAAAACCATACATTTTGCAAAAGAAATACTTTAGAGTGCTCGTGCTACCTTGGCACTCTGTAACAACAGAAGAAAGCACAGAATAAAGCAAAAGTCACTGTAAAGAAAATTAGTGATCTAGCTAACAAGTCATAGGGTTCTTCCAAGGAAACAGACATTTGTATCATCTCGCACAAAATTAACATTATGTGATAAGCATCCTGTGCATTCTGAAATAAACAGCGTTAACAACACAATGACAGGACAGCACAGTGGGATGGCAAGGAACACATGAAAACAAGGTAGTGTAAATCTACTTAGATCTGTTTTTCCAAACTTAACTGACAAGCTGAAGGAGGAAAATTCAGATTGGGTTGAAGTGGGAGTCACTGCAAATGTCAGTGAGGACAGGGATAACTTAAATACAAGTGTCTAGAAAAAAAAAAAATCAGTAAAAACTGAAATAATATTCAGCTTGTAAAATCTGCAAGTTTCTTCTTGGCAGTTACAAAAAAGCATTTAACTGAAGGCAAAAAATGGCAGTAAAGCTAAAATAACAGCTACAGTGCAGCACCTGCTGAAACTAAATTGCAAGTTCTTTCCCAGTGCAGCAGAAAAACATACTTTGATCTTGGGAGAATTCTTCGGAATTTAGATAGACAATCTTGAAGATGGCAGTTACAGATTGCAATTCAGCCATATTCAGATATTAGACTGAGGACGTACCTTTTACCTCCCTTAACTAACCCTCTTTCAGGATTCACAACCACAGCAAAATTTGTAAAGAGCTAAACTGCAAGATGGCACAGCTTGTCCAATAACCAAGCAGCTTCCACTTTAAACCTTGTTCCTACTTTAATATCTGAAATGTACTGAAGTTTACTCCTCTGGTAAGAGATTATATTCCCTTACAAAGAAAATGGCATCTAGGAAAAATCCCTAATGATTTTAGCATATTATAAATTATATCTGCATTTAGTGTCTAACTTGTTTTTAAATACTCTTTAAGCCTCACCATTATACCAAGTAAAAAATATGGCAGAGCACAATCACTGAAATTTACAGAGTTAACAGGACAAGGAAAATGCCATTTTTCAGCCTTAGAATTTGGAGCAGTTAAATAGAATCATGTAAGAGCCAGGCCTCTTCCCGCATGAAACTTAGTTTCATCAGGCTCCCTTAACAATCTACAAACAGAAATACAGGCCCATCAGCTGGAGAGACATATATTGCTACTGCAGCATCAGATGGGTATTTCAAGCACTAAATACACAGGATTTTTTCCTGTCCACAGTAATAATCATTTGTCACGTTACAGATTAATACAGCTCATATCAGAGAGGTACAACAAGCTGCTATGACTTAAGCAAACATACAGAATGGAAGAAAAATTTTAGGTAGAGTTTCAGCTGCATATTCTTCATTATGTATCACATCGGCTGAAAGTAAAAGCAAGCCCTGCGCTACTCATGCTTAGAAAATTTTAATACCATCTTGGCCACACCTTAACTATTTTTTAAGTGTTATGGAAACACAAGCAAGATGTTTCTAGACAAGGAACTCCTATCAAAATTGGGGAAACTTTGTCTAATTACATTTTTACAACTGGCTTCTCACTACCATGCTTGATAGCTCACTATATAAGAAAGCCAAAACTGTTCTTTACCACGAATTCAAGCCCTCCAAGAAAACTAACGAATGCAAGAGCCTGCTACAACAGTGGAAATCTCTTTCAGTAGGACGTTCTTTTCACTTAAATGTTCTTTGTTCATAAACAAAAATTAGCTTGTCAATATCTTATCTTACAACTACCTGATCTACTAATATTGTTTAAACCAAAGCTTTACTGAAAGAAAAATTAAAATACCTACCTCATTTACATGTCACATGTTAAGCCTAATTCAATTTAAATATGCTTTTTTCCATCTTGTTCACTCTCTACAATTTTTTCTTCATGAGAATAGTGTACAACATCCATATTTTAAATAGAATTCAAAGGCAAGACCTGTTCTGCTTAATGACACCAGTTTTACTGAATTAAAGCAGTTAAGTGGTTTTCTTCAGAAAGCAGGGAAAAGGACAGAAAGCAACCAGGCCCCTAGCAGAAGAAAATACACTACAAACACTTACCATTGATCTTTTGCATGCAAAAAATGTCATTTGCAAACTCCTACAGTGTCCTTCCCTCAAACATTGTTTAGGGCTTTTGTTTTCCTGTTAGATGAAAAATAAAGGATTAGAGACTTAATGGATCTTGTTCACTTCTACAATTTTTTCTTCATGAGAATAGTGTACAACATCCATATTTTAAATAGAATTCAAAGGCAAGACCTGTTCTGCTTAATGACACCAGTTTTACTGAATTAAAGCGGTTAAGTGGTTTTCTTCAGAAAGCAGGGAAAAGGACAGAAAGCAACCAGGCCCCTAGCAGAAGAAAATACACTACAAACACTTACCATTGATCTTTTGCATGCAAAAAATGTCATTTGCAAACTCCTACAGTGTCCTTCCCTCAAACATTGTTTAGGGCTTTTGTTTTCCTGTTAGATGAAAAATAAAGGATTAGAGACTTAATGGATTTCTGCAGCTTGTCAAAGAGACATCAAAATACTTCAGACAAGGTTTACTCGGGATTTTGCTATGGTACGGTGATTTGCACTTTCTTCTGAAGTTTTAATTTCTTAACCTGCTTAAAACACTAATTAAATAGGCTCGAAAGGGACAAAGTAACAGCTTCTCTCTCACAAGGGCTCCTTCACGCCAGCGGGAGGCCGCCGCTCCCCTCCCAGAGGCGCACCCCGCGGTGTCTG